GTCAAATTAAGCAACAGTTCACAGGATATGGACCAGCCACTGAAATCGTTCAGAAGCGCTTGTAGACTGAATCAAAAATTGGCGCTTTGGTGATTAATCTCCAGTAAGACACCATCCGCAAATTTTACTAGAGTCGCTTCAGTTGGAGCTAGTATAGAGCTGACGAAATTGGAAAAGAGAAAAGGCAACATAATTTCTCCCTGAAGGAAACCTGCGTTGGTGAGTATTGGGGAGGAACCTCTGCTACTGAGTTGGGTTATCTGAGTGCGTTCAGCAAAATAATCCCTCAGTAAATAGGTAATGGAGGAACGTAATTCTTGAGTAAGTAGTTGTTCTAGCAGTAGTTCGCTTTTTACGCTGCCAAATGTATTGCTGTAATCAAGAAAATACATCCAGGATGCTTTATTCCTATTGTCAAGCGATGACAGTACAGAATGAACGAGGTAAGCCACAGCATCTATGCTTGACAACGAACTACAATAGGCGAACTGAAGGGGGTCCTTAGGTTGTGTTCTGGCCGACACCATTTCAAGAATGACTTCCTCCAGAACTTACAAAGTAACGGAAATGCACGCGACAGGTCGATATTTGTTGGATCCATTTTTCGGCACTGGTGTAATGTTGACACTTTTCCAGCAGTCGACTATTTGGTGTTGCTGCATACACTTTGTGTATATACTCGCAAGTGGGGTTGCCAAAAAATTGGCACCTTTTCTGAGTAATATAGGATATAGCATGTCCGGCTCATTGGATTTATCGGAACATTGATGCTTCAGTCGATTAGTTACAGTTGCAATGTTAATGAGAGGCAGTGTATCAGCAGACCCCAAAGTTGGGCACAGGAAGACTGTGCAGCTGTAGTAGTAATACGGTGGCAAAACTCTTGATTCAGTTTCTCTACTTCCACATTAAATTAGGGCGAAAGTCGAGTAACTCCGCTAAGCTTTTTAAGCATCCTCCAGAATTCACGACAACTGCTGTTCCTAAAATCAGAGTGGATATACGGTCTGCTAAGACGGTGTAGTTCTTCCTTGATCCGACCTGTGAAAGGTTTTACTGAGGTGCCGACTTTTCAATAAACTTTTACCCCCTATATTGGCATAGCCGCTTAAATGGGGGAAGGAAAACCTGTCAGGATGAATGTAAATATTTTCCAACGGACAACTGATATCAAAACAAAAATCCAAATAGCTTGTCAAATTGTTACAACATATGGATACACCAGGATCAAAGGACAAACTAAATTCCGTCGATGCGATTATTTAATGAAGTCTGTCGAGATTATGTGGAGAGCACGTTTCCACCTTGCACTTCGATCATGGCAGCGAATGACTTGTTGGTGCTTGTTCTTGCTATGGATGACAGGTGAGATTTTGAGTAGTGAGTGATCACAATAGCCGATTGGAGCACGAGTACATACGGAGAACCACTTTACATTATTAAAAAACACAAGGTCCAAGGTGGCGTTTACCGTGTTGGCTAGGTTGACGATGTTTCACAACCCGAGAAAGTTAGGAAAAGTAATGTCACGGCTATTGAAATCTCTGCCGGGTGCACAGAGAACAATCGAGATGACAGCTGCAGTAAATTCATCAAGGAAATCCAGCTTCAGCTTTAGGACAGGTGGGATATATGTAGATGTTAACCAACAATATTGAGAGGTAGCCATTCAAACTCCTCGACTTATATTGTATGACAAAACAATTAATAAACTGTCAGGGAAAGCAAAAACGGTTTCATTGCAATAAACTATGACGGAATGATGTAAATAAATACATCAGCACCTCGGTTTCCGTACTTGCATGGGCGTTTGGCCCGATGACAAATGATTTCTCCAACTGATAAGACTGCGTCATCCACTCTTCATTCAGCTATGTTGCTTGTAACGTAACGATTCCAAGCTGCGAAAAGTCTTTTGATAGTTCACTTAAGATCACCATGAGTGACGAGATGTTAGTGGGAAGCAATAAGTGGACGCTTCGATCTCACAATATTTTCCGTTGAAATGTAACGCTGTATCCAAAACGGTATTTGCTAACAAAGTTAACACACTACTTATTAATTCATTTCAGTTTGTTTCTGATAACACAAAGGATCGAAAATGCACGATTTACAATGTAGAAAGAAGTAGCGATGTTATAATATCGCGTGAGTAAATTTGCGTGGCGGGACGAGTGATGCGTTAAAACTAGAATCGACAGACAAAATGTAAGGTGTGAGAACTTGTGTGTTGATAAACTCCAAAGAGTGAAACCGTAGTGCATGATCTAATTTGAAGGCTTTGTCAAGCCTGTTTAGAAATTACGCA